ATAGATAGATAGATAGATAGATAAAATATAATTGAAAGCAAGAAATGAAGTTTTTCTGCCCAACTGTAATCACAGCGAAATAATCTATTTTATTCATGGGCGATCACATTTGTTCGTTTATCATTTTAGTGGGTTATGGGTTATGGCAGGGGTTCTCAACCTTGGCAACTTTAAGACTTGTGGACTTCAACTCCCAGAATTCCTCAGCCAGCAAATTCTGGGAGTTGAAGTCCACAAGTCTTAAAGTTGTCAAGGTTGAGAATCCCTGGATTAGGGAGTGTTTGAGAGTTTTGAAAATTTGAGAGCCACTGTTATACAGAATTAACTGGGCATTTTGTAAGATACTTGTTTTCCTTTGTAGAACTAAACTTGGTCCTGTTGGGAGTTTCTTATAAAGCAGAGCCAAAGATTAATAATTCTCCATTGGTTTATCCCCAAATCATCATCATCTGACTCCATGAAAGACTTCACACTTTACAGAGGACATATTCTCTCAATAGAGTCCCCAACTCATTCCCTCCTGCTGCTGAGACAAGCTGAAGGCCTATCATTCTGTCCTGTAGAGCCACTTGAGACAACAACCTGCAGGGCTCCAATTGGATTGCTGCAGGATTGTACACCCCATCTGGCCGCAGGTCTCTCTAGCTTTTTATGCTTTCATTGAAAATACCGTTAGAAACCCAAGGTCTTAGAAATAATGATCTCATGGAAGGCCTGCAATACTCCAAATTCTATTCTGGCTCTTTCCCCCCTTTAATTGTCCTGAATTTAATTCAATTCCTTGAAACTGCCCAGTTTAGAGCACAAAGATAGAAGATTCAAGCCCGTACTCAAAGCTAGAAACACCCATTTACCCAAGAATTTGCAGAATTTTGATTTCTAATATGCAAAGACTTTGGGCTGCATGGGTCTAACTTCTGCTTCCTCATTCCCAACAAAACTAGCCACCTCACTAAGCTGCATCTTTGCTGGCTGACCAGTGACTCCTCAAAGTACAAGAGGCCAAAGGATGATCATGGATTTAGATGGGCAACAGTAGGCCAATTCCTCTCTCAAGGTGCCACAAATATTCACAAGTCACATGGAAATACTTCTACGTAGAGAATGCAAGAAGGAGGGAAGAAGAGGCCTGTTGTCCTGTCCAGCCAAGTGGATACTTTGCCTTCCCTACTGTCCCACAAGCATATAGAGAAGGGAATATGCAGCAAAGGATAGAAGAATACGGAAGGTGCAGGGTCTGCACTGTATCAACAGCAGATCATCCCTGATCTTCTGCAGCTGTAGGGGTTAACTACTATCTGCATTGGGGCAGGTAGTCTGGCCTTGATCCTGAGACATGGTAAAAGGGGTTAACGATGGCAATGAGTTTGATAGCAGTATACTTTTCCCCCACTGAATAGTCTGAATAAGCCTTTTCACACTAAATGACAGTATCTATCTGCTATTAAAGTTCTCGTTTTGGAGCACAGCTTTTAAACTACGCTTACTAGAAATGCAGTCAAATTATTCTCAAACACCTAGATTGAATGTGTAAAATTGATAGTTGAGCTATACTGGAAGAGCTGGCATAATTCAGCACTGATCAAGTGCTAATCACTCCACTAGAACCTATTTCTAGATAAGATAGGGATTTTTTAAATGTAACTTTGAATATATCTTTACCAAAAGCCCACAAACCATCAGTTTCCATTCCTGATGTATTCTACACTAAAAGACTTAATTCTGCCCAGGACACAGCTTTACTTTGTAATAAAATTACTTCCTGTAAACCTATCTGCATTGTCATCTCTGTTTAACAGAAGTCAGGGGTTCAATGTTAACTCCAAATGCTAATTGTCCACTACTATATAATAAGGCAATTAAGTGAAATTGTATGCATAGAATAATAGAAAACTGGGCAACTGTGATATTACTTTGCAAAACAATGGGTAGCAGCAATACTTATGGTTATATTATTTTACTAAAAGGTTGCTGTAATTAGGCTCTGAAAACAGTAAATAACTGGGGCTAGTAAGTATTTGTTTTAGCTAAATTCCATGATAAGCTGTTGGAAGAAAGCTTTCTTTATGTGGCATGAGAATGTTTGTTTTTCTATGCCTCAGCCTAACATTGTGCACAATCTTAACATTTAGCCTAAAAAACTTGACAGTAATGAAAGAATCAAGATTGTCATTTTCTGAAACAGAAAATCATTGATCTTGCTATTCCTCACCCTTGTTACATTGCAGCATATAATAACATAGTTGAAAAACACTTATTTCACTTCTAAAGAGAAAAGGCAATGAAAGTCACATAATTTATATCATTTTTACTAGATATCTCCATTTTAGTTAAACTATCTTGGAATTCCAATACATGTCCAACACATACAAGAATACAAATAAATACTCTCATACAACATTTTAGTTTTTAAATAAAGAATAATTCCCACCTAGGGCTTTCACAATGGATTTGTTACAAATCAAACAGAATTTTCCATTTTTCAGCATCACTAAGATCCAGTTTTATGAAAATATAAACTCGGGAACATACAATGGGTAAGCACACTCCTTTCACTATCTTGCAAAATACAGTCGTCCCAACTATAGTTTTCCAGACCAAATGCCTCAACGTTAGTATACAATAAAACTTCAAAAATAAAGCTCAAAAAGCATGCTTTTTGCTTATAATCAAAGGGCGAGTCCAAATTGTATTTTGGTTTGAGTGGATCAGTTAAAATTAATGCGACAAATCAGCTACAACTACAATTGCATTACTTATAAGCAGTACTAAGTTGAATCCAAACAGGGCATTGAAACCATAGACAACCTGCAAGCTTCAAGAAAAAGCTTCTGGATAACTTCTGGATAACTCCCATCTCTGAATGCAGCTTAGCCAAGAGAGTGTTTTCAATCTTTGCCTTTAAATGGGCACAAGTCAACTGTATACTCAGATGGTGTTTTATGCACATGAAACCATAACAGTGGTCTGGCATCATAGCAACTTCTGATGAAGAATCTCCCATACCATTTTTTTTCGATAATAAGGCATATGAAACTGCAAAAAGAAACTCTGTTAACATATTTCATACTTCCATTTAGCAAATACGCTATTTTATTTTTGCTTTCCTTAATAACAAATGTTCTCTCAGTAACTGACAAAGCACACATGCACTAAAAGTCAAAATAAAATAATCATTAAAAATGAGAATCACCAGCCCAGGATATAGAATACAAAAGACATAAAATAGCTATTTGACATAAAATTAGTAAAACTCTAAGTCTATAACTTCTTGTGTCTAAATTGTTAAGTATCTAGAAGAAGACAAATTATTTGCCTAGCTGTTGAAATATGGGCACTAAGTAAGATTCCTTTGGAGATTGCATTCACAGAATACATAACCTAGCTTAGAAAGCTTCCCTAATGTTTATTCACTCTAAGAAGACACTAGGGAAGGGACAATCATTTAGATTTTGGCCTCAAGTCAATAAAAGTCAAAGCCAATATTTGCATAGGGCTGGAAAAGACCGGAAGCCAGTGCAACTATTAAGATATTGGCATTTCATGGTTGTATCAATCAATACCGTTTTAAAAGGTTCCTCTATTCTACCCTCTGAACATCCCAAACTATTTTCCGGAGGTATCCTTACATACAACACATTACAATAATCCAACTGGAAAATCAGTTTGTTCCCTCTTATCCAGATATGGGCTACAACTGGTATATTAACCAAAGCTGATAATTGGAGCTTTTAATCATTGAGACATCTTGTGCCTTCAATGATAACATAGAATCCAGAAATGATCCAAGCTGCACATTTGAATTTTGGAGGAAATTTAACTTCTACTACTGCCAGAACAGATTAACCACTACTCAACTAGTCAAATTAATCACCTTTAGATTACTGCCTCCTTACTACAGAAATTAAGTTTTAGTTTCTAGCCCTCATCTAAACTGTTGTCTTGTACAATACAGGTCACCTATTGTCCTCTCAAATTAAGTAAAACAGATAATATCAATCTACATACCAATAACATGAATAGCGGCATAGTGTTTAGTAGGTACTTCCCAATATGAACACATTACATTTGTGCTCTGGGACCGTCACTGGCTTCCAATCAATTCTTGTATGCAATTCAAAGTGCTAATTTCACCTTTAGAGCCTTTCAAATTTTGGTACTGAAGCATCTCAAAGGCATCCTCCCCTCAATTTCAACTTGCTGAATACAAAGCTCCCAAGAAAATCTATTAGTGGTTCCTCTTTTCTGAGAGGCCACTGCTTTTATGTGGTGGTGCTGATGCTGTGGAATAGCCTGCTGTCTGAAATCTGATCAGCTTCCACTTTGTTAGGCTTCAGGAAATTATTAAAACAGTACTTTTTAAGACTTACAGATGTAACTGACTATTTTTACTGCTTTTTAATTGCTTGCTTTATAATTTTATTCATGTTTTATTTACCCTTGTTATATAAAATCATTTATACTATACACATTTTATTAAGATTGTAAGTCAGCAAAAGTTTCATGGCAACAGATTTTTAAAAAAACTAATACTTGATTCAGAATACCATGTCTACCGGTATCAAAATCACAGTGAAATCCAAAAGAGCCAATTGGGTGATATTCGCCATCTCCTTCTTACATAAGGGAAGCCAAAATAGTTTCTGTCCCAAAATTAATCCAAAGATGAATCCAGACAATTAGTTTCATCTAAAAATGCTTGAAAATAATCAGTAATTCCAACCATGAGCATCTTATTTAAGGGGATAATAATAATCAGTCTACTGTTTCTATCACAGCACTAATAACAAATAAATATCTCAAGAGATAGAACAGCAAGAAAATTATTTCCTAAAGTATTTCAACTCACCTGTGTAAATGCAATGGGTTTATCCCTAGTGACAAAGTCTGCAAATTTGCAAGTAAACATTCCACAGTCACTGCCATTTAATTGCTGCGGAATTTCCTAAGATTGAGAAAAGGGAATATGCAGGAAATCTCATTAACTTTTTCTTGTTTTATTTAAATTACAGATCACTGAAACCTAAGAGCAGCAATTCTATAACAGATCATCAATTAAACAGGCATCTAAATCGATTGCTCAATTTCAAAAAATTATATAACTATCTGTACTTTAAGGCAGGGCTTTTCAACCAGTGGTACGGGTACCATCTGTGGTACATTGGCACCTGGCAGGTGGTACATGACCATCCTAGAAAAGTAGTAGCGGAGGAGGGGAATGAGCTGAACCGGTGGCAGCAACACACAAGCCTGAGCGAGAGATGGCTGGAGCTGCAGGGCTGTCAGGGCTCAGCGGAAGCGCCAGGATCAGCACCAGGCTCCAGCTGGAGCTCGGTGCTGATCCTGGCGCTTCTGCTGAGCCCTGAAGAAGCACCAATCAGCTGGAAAGCAGCACTGATCCTGGCTCTCCTGCTGAGCCCAGAAGAAGCGCCGATCAGCTGGAATATTGCAGCATCTCTAGGGTCTTGTGATTTACATTCAGATGCTTGGCAACTGATTCATATTTATGACGGTCACAGTGTCCCAGGGTCATGTGAAGTGACCAAAACCTGATGCAATCACCCAGCAGATGGGGAGAACAAAAACCAAACACCTCCCACCCCACCCCCGCTGCCAATCCTCAACAGAAATGCTCACAACGATGAAAACCTTGGACAGGGGGAAGAGCACCACCGGGTGGGGAAGCAAGTGTCTTGCTTGGCTGTGGCTTGGGGGGAATTTTTTCCAGTGCCATTGTAACTTCAAATAGTCACTAAGCGAACTGTTGTAAGTTGAGGACTACCTGTACTTTATCACATTTTCCCTTTTTTTTGGTCATCAAGTTTTTGACACCTTGCTAGGCGACTGGTGGTACTCGGATATTGCCATATCCTAAAAGTGGTACAATGGGTGAAAAGGTTGAAAAGCCCTGCTTTAAGGAACAGGAAATTCCTAAAGATGGACAATATAATATATGTTTATTCATTCAAATTTACAGGCCACCTACATCATGATAAAGTAACTTTGGGTATCATACAATAAATCTTAAAAACAATTCATCCATAAAAACGATTATTAAAAAATGAAAAACCCAAGTCTAAGAGAGAACAACAGACGTTAATAACCATGGAGCCACTTCAATATCTCATTGGTCTCCTGGGATCTCCGGGCCTGATGGCATAACCAGATTTTGCGGGACTTCTGGAAATTCAACAGTGATAGAGCCAGGTCATTTCAGGGAATTTCCATAAAGCAAATGGCATTCACCAAATGCAACTCTCATACGGACCCAGAGCATGCCTCTTCTGCTGAATCTGGTTGGATGGGCAGATACATTCAGGGAGAGATAATCCCTCAGATAACCCAAACTATGCCATGCAGGGCTTTAAAAGTCAAAACCAGCACCTTTAATTGGTCCCAGAACAAACTGATGACTAATGCAGCACATGGAGCAGAGGTGTAATTTGTATTGCTGTATAGATACACATTAATGCCCCGCACTGTTGCATTTTGCACCAACTAAGTTTCCGGATACTCTCAAGGGTAGCCCCATGAAGAGGGCATTACGGTAATCCAACTGGGAGGTGACTAGCGCCTAAGTGATCGTGAGCAGAGCCTCCGATCTTGGAACTGGTGCAAGTAGCACACAATATAAAGTTGTGCAAAGGCTTTCTGTCTGGTCTGAAAAACCACGTCTGCACCTGAAGATTCAGTTTAGCTGATTTTTTGTTAAAAGCCTACGCAAAGGATTCTTCTCAACAGTCAGAGTTAGAGTCAGATAAGAATCAAGGGTATTCAAGGGGGGTTAGTTCACTTCTGGCTATCCTCCTCCTGGATCTGCCAGTCCTTCTCCTACATTTTCCTTGCTATGACTGACACCTGCTGTTCAAGCACAATTCCTGAGTCCAGGAAGACTCCGAGATTACACATGGAATCTCTTTGGGGCAATGCAATCCCATCCAGCAGCAAAAATAGAATAAATCAGGAACTGGCAGGCCCTCAAATCCCAAACCACTCAGTCTTTCCAGGGTTCAGTTGAAGTCTGTTTTCCCCATCCAGACTCTCATAGCCTCCAGGAAATGAGATAAGATGTATACAGCAACACTTAATTTTCCAGAGGCAAAGATGAATAATTGGGAATCCTCAGCGTACTGATGACACCTCACCCCATGGTGACAAATGAGCTCATCCAGCAACTTCACGTGGATCTCTCCCCTCCCCCCACATCACCACTGACTGGAATATCACTTGATATTTTAGAAGCTTTCACCCGATACAAGACATTTTATTTTTAATAAACAAATGTAGGTTTATGCTGGAGATTCAGAAACTACACAAATGTCCATTTAAATAGAACTTCACTGCATCTATATGTTGCACTTAAATCAGGTCTGGATATAATAATCCTAGGTAAGAATCTATGATTTAGCAAATCAGACCTGAATACCCTCTCTTATCCATCACATCTTCCCTTATCTCTGAAGTGCTGTTGTTTTTTAAACCACAGACCCATTTCATGTGCAGTAAGGAAGCTGTGGTTTGAAGAAGTCACCACTGAAGTACTGAAATCAGTATTGGGGAAATTGGGGGGGGGGTTGTGAAGACTAAAACATTTATTCCTAAATTAATAATTGAATCTTGCTGAAATGACCATTTTAGAAGTTTAGAACTTCTAAACTTTTAGATGCGCAGTAGAAATGAAAAACACAACAGTTGCACATACATGAGGCTTCATACTGTAAAGTATCCAAGACGAAACATTAATATCCAGGTTTTTCTTTGCTTTACTTTCCTCTTGCAGATATTGTCTGTTCAATAAAATCATAACAAACAGTGATAACATTTTCCTAAGAATTAAGATCATCACTCTTCAGAGGTAATAAAGTTTTGCATGCTGTATTTTTAATACATAAAAAGTAAAAAAATATCCACCCAGTTTACAGCAATCAATAGAAGTAATGGTTCATTTTATCAATCTAATAGAAAAAGTAAAAAGGGACATTTTTTGTACCATTAGACATCTACTTACAACAATCTCATACAGATCCTGATGCCATTTTGTCCCATTGAATCAAAATATTTGATAGTTTTTCTTCTCAAATCTATAACCTACAACAAAGTGAAGATTTTAGTAGAATCTGGCAGGTAACCATCACATTATATCCTCATCACCCAAAGAATTTCAGAAAAGCTAAAATGTTATTTACCACTAATGCCCAATGTAGTCTGATATGAATAGGCACCAAGATTATGTCATGTTGGAATAAGTCAACTTCTTTGGTCCATCTTTTTACTGCATTATAGCCCATAGAACTTAGCTTGGAATAGAAGAAAGTGCTAAAAGCATAAAGTACTGGAAATCCTGGCATTTTATTTCTCTCAACCAGAAGATTCATATAGAAGTTAATGACCTATATCAAAGAGAAGAGACAAGATAAGAGGAAGAAATACACAAACAGATACATATACATGTGTGTATGTATGTATATATATATATATATATATATATCTTCTAATATACTAATAAAATGCAATTAATTCTCAGGGCTATCTTTATAGAGATATTCCCGCAAAGCCTTTACTGGAATATTTCTATTCCTGAAAAATAGCCCTGAGAATTAATTGCTTTTTATTAGTATACTTGAAATAGTGTATAGGCAGTTCTCATTTAATGACTGCCTTGTATGGCGATAATTTGCGATTTTACAGCGAGAAAAAGTAACCTTGTGACCAATTCTGACATTTATGACCTTCAGAGGCCTGTAAAGAAAAATTGAAGTAAGATCAGAAGCATCGCTGCGGTTCCACTTAACAACTGCTTCACTTAATAAACAAGTTGCTGATCCCAATTGTGATTGCTAAATGAGGACTTCATGTAAGACATACAAAGGGCTCAGGAAGTTACAATTCAATAACACAAAAAAGGGAACTGATCCAGTCCAGAAGCCAGTTCCAGTTCCTACCTGCCCTGTATAAGGTGTGATGAAACAAGCTTAAAAAAACAATCACACTTTTGGGACACATTTTCCTTATTTAGGAAGAAGATGCACAGTGGAGAAATTGTCATGAAGCTGATGAAGTGGCACTATGCTGCCTTTCCATCTGTCTCTTATGAGGGAAATTAAAAGCAGAAACGGACTGAGATGACCTCACTCAACATTTTGCAAGCCAGATATACTGGTCTGATGGGCAATTCAGGCCTCTAGATCAGAAGCTTTCCAACCCTGTGATAGGTCATTACAGTTATTTCTACAACAAAGGACTAATGAAACTTAAGCTACTAATGAGAAAATTTATTTTACCACATCATTGAGCCATTGCTGGTTTCTTAATGTTTGAATGTCTCTTCGTGTAATATTCAGCTTGAAGGCACTAGTCAAAATTTCATCATCTTGACCATAGCTCAGAGCATTTGCTATCTCTGTTTCCATATCCTGGAAAAACATTTTATACTATGAAGGTCATAAACAGTTAATATTAAAACTAAATTTACACATTTTGAGGAAGTAAAGTGAGGATAGAAACAAGATACTCAGATTTTGTTTTATCTTGTAAAGAAAAAAGTGAATACAATTATCTTATTTCTAGCATACTTTATACCAGTGGTTCTCAACCTTTTTAATGCCGCGACCCCCCCAACCGGTCATAAGTCGAGGACTACTCAACCGGTCGTAAGTCGAGGACTACTCAACTGGTGCAACCCCGTTTGCAGAATGGGACTTTTGGCGGGCTCAGCAGGGCAGAGACAGCCTGGACAATTCCTATTGGCTTTTGAAAGCCAATAGAATTAGACTCTATTCAAGAGAGTCTATTCTATTGGCTTTCAAAAGCCAATAGAATAAAAGGGAGTAGCACAGCTAAGGAAAAGGGGGAAAAAATGGCGGACTGCATTGTTTGGCGACCCCCGTGAAATGGTCGTTCGACCCCAAATGGGGTCCCGACCCACAGGTTGAGAGCCACTGCTTTATACTGAAAATAACAGTTTGGATATAATCTCGTTTGAATGACTATTTCTTGAAATAAGTTACATTCCTATACTGGGGACAATAAAGACAGAAAATATCTGGAGCTAATTTCAGATAAACTTAGTCCTTTAATGCCTACCTCTGTAAACTCAGGAAAGCACTCTGTAGCCTTTTCCAAACTTAGATACTTTTCTCTTATTTCAACCAGAGAACGTCTTCTGTATGACGATTCTTTCTGGACCAGGCTTAATCTAAGTGATACTTCTTCTGATAGATCATTTCCCATCAAAGGCTGCATTGAGTTCTAAAGAAAATGGAAAAAAAGAAACTGTAAAATCAAACTCTGTAATTGGATTGTTCATGGAAAGGAATCCTCCAAAAGACAAAGAATCCCATCAAAAGCTTCTTTATAAAACAACCAACTAGGAAATCCCTTATCTTTTTACGCAGTGAACTCCTGAGGCTTGTAAGAGTTTTAGCTTATAAACTAAACTTTAAAAAGGGAGGGGGAGAAGTAATGAGTTTACGGTTCCCTGAGGTTGAGACATGAGATATAAAAAAACGGCTTGATTCTTCCCCTGCACCATGAGGTTAACTCTCAAGGAAGAAAAAAAGTTTAAGGGTTTACTTTTTCCTTTTCTCACTCTTGGAATATGCCCAGCTCTCCTGACACATAATAAAATCCTCAGGTTTGGGGCTTGCAATTGCTTCTTTAGTACTGCAGGCAACGGCATGGAAGGTTTTAGCAGAGCTGAACACAGGAAACTACCTCATAACAGACTGTTCATCAAGTCCAGTATTACCTATTCCAACAGTAACATTCTAGGCGTCTAAGTCATGATCATCCACATCATATTTGAACTGATGTGAACTGGAATTCATCAGGGACTGAACTTAAATCTTATACCTGCAAATAATGAAATTCAGGTCACTGAGCTATAGTCTCCTATTTGTTTCCTTTTCTTCCCCACTCCCATCCCTCTCCACCCTTCAGCAACAAATATTTTAAACCACCCTGAACCTATAAAACCAATTTCCTAGAATGGTTCCTGACTGTACAATTCCAGCTGGTTTGGAATAGAATCCTAAAAAATACACTCAGATCTGTTACAAAAAAATCTGAACAATTTCAGTAAGTCATTAAAAGAAACACAACCATCATTCTGGTTTTTACTCTACGTTATACAATTAACAATGCAGACTATCCATGTCCAGATACAATAATATACTTCTACATCAGTGTTTCTCAACCTTGACAATTTTAAGGCGTGTGGACTTCAACTCCCAGAATTCCACAGCCAGCAATGCTGGCTGTGGAATTCTGGGAGTTGAAGTCCACACGCCTTAAAATTGTCAAGGTTGAGAAACACTGTTCTACATGAAAAGCAGGAGAACACTTTATTAGTGCCGTGTATATTACAATATTAATCTGTTGTATTGGAAATAAAACAACAACTTGTCATCTGACAATTTTACTAGTCAGAACTAAAAAAGTTGTCAGACTCCAAGATGTTCCTTAGAAGTAAACACATACCTGGCTATAACATTATGCCAAGTATTTAAATCTTAATTTATTAAGATTGACAAATGGTTCAAGAAGTTCACAAAAGTTACTCAAGGGTGGTTAAGAGATTTTAAACAACAATCCCCTCCCTCCCTCAGATTATCCCAGCCCCTCCTTGAGATAATGAGTGTGCTACAGGTCCTCTCTATTAAACAATGTGATCTTGCAGGACTAGGAAAGTATGACATTGCTATCACAAACCCTGCCCTCTGGAACAGCATCTCCCTCACAGATATGGACAGTGCCCTCTTTCCTGAGGTGTAGGAAGGACTTTAAGATGTGGGGTTAACATGTTTGTGGAGGCCTTATTGTAGTTTTTTGTTGTTGTTATGGTTGTTTTAGCCTGAGTTGCCCTTTTTATGTTTTAAACTGTTTTTAGGATTTTGTAAGTGACCCAGAATCTGTTCAAGTAGGTGGCCATAACAATTTTAAAGAAATAATAAAAAATGGAACTCTACCATTATAGAGTATAATAATAGAATCTTAAAACCTTAACAGAGATTCTCTCTCCCTTCTCTTATACCAATCAGAATCAAGCTAGGGCAATCTTGATTTTTTTTCCTTATTCCTTTCTCTCTATTTGGGCTAAGCTAATATTTAGATAACAGTAATTGAATTCCTTCTTCAAGGCCATCTCTACACAATTCTATACAACTAATTGTTTTTCTTTATATTTAAACCAGGATTGGGGGGGGGGGAATCCTCTGTAGTATTTTCTTCAAACCAGTAACATTAATTTGGAAGTTTTTTATCTTGTCCCATTATACAGCAGCCCACTGCCATCTTGGAATTTGTCTAAGGCGCTGGATTTTGAGGAAAATAGTTCCTTTTTAATTAAATTCTTAGTAGTAACATTGTGATTCGACAGCTCTGTAATTTGTCTTTCTCAAAGTTAATATTTGCATTTTAATATTTAAAATTAGGAAGGATTCTTCATGTTTTTAAGTAAGTTTGATTTTTTTTTAAAATCTCTGGTGACATTGCTCTATTTCCCAAGGAGGGAGAAAAGTGCTTGTTTTTTTGTATATTTACCACAGCACAGGGTGTGATAGCCCTCTCCTTCTGACACATCAGCAGTAAGAGCTAGGATACCAGATGATGCTACTTTAGAAGGTAATGACAACAGGATTTATCAAGCCACTACCCTAAAGCAGAAGATAGAACCAGGCTGAGAAAACCCAAAGGCATTCTGACACAGGAGATTTGAGACTGTGAGCTTTCTATTCTATGTACTCGTTATTAATATTCTTAGGAAAAGGATTGAAAAGAAAAAATTAAGGTTCTGAAATGAAAGGAAAATAATGCTTGGCTGAAATTTTTCAGAAGACTGTTCTGAATGGTATTTGAAAATTAATGATGGCATTCTAAACAGCTTCATTGTAATGCATTTCATTTCTTGTAATTATTTTAATGACATTATGTTGGCTAAAATTTTAATTGAATTCCAAAATAATTATTAATAAAATTTAAAAGAAAAAAAGACAAAAGTGTCACAATAAAGAGTGCATCTCACCTCTTTTTTCTGTATGAATACCTTTTCATGTTCTGTTGTTCTTTTTGCTATTATTATTGATCTGATAGAAACACGGAGACAAAGAGGTTACTGGGAATATTACAAAAGTAGAAAGAAACACTTTTATTATCAGGAAGAATTTTACAAGCATTTTATACGTGCTAAGCTAATGTAATCCTACAGAATAACCTTATAAATGTCAATTATAGTGGAATACAAAGAATGAAACAGAACTAAATTATACATTGTTCAGTGGCTCATCCTTTCACACAAAATGTTATTGCTGAAGAATTATAAAATCACTACAGCCATATAAAAAAGGATCTAGGATTAAAAGTTTGGTTAAATATTTAAAATCTGTAAACTTGTTAAATAGTACAGTGATGAGAGAAAGTCTGTTAACACATCCGAACCAACTATGATCCTGCAACCCTAGGATCTATAAATGAGACGAGACCTTCATGTAGACTATCTTATTACATAAAGAGATTCTGGTTAAAAACCAAACCACAATACCATGTCATGATCTACTGAACACTCTATGCCAATACTCATTTTCTTTGAGTCTGCTCTTCATGACACAGGTTTGTGAAAGTGAATGATATTTTGATCGAGAGAGACTCTCAGAACTTGAAAAATAGTTGTCAATGCTCATCAGAATGGGAAGCTCACAAAATTACCGTCAATGGTCCGATAAAAAAGTGTAAAAATGGAGAAAATGCACACTGTGATTAATTCCCAGTAATAGTTATCCAACAAAATTCACAAGAGCAAGGCATGTAATGTTCCAAAAGGCTGCAAAGAATGCCAGGTTAACAGCAAAGGATTCACAGGTCATTCCTCCATAGCCTGATGCCAGCAGTCATAAATTTACCATACGCAAAACACTGAACAAAAGTAATTTACAGGAGGATATCAAGGAGGAAATCGCTACTATCAGAAAGCACATCGCTGCCCATTTTAAGTCTAAAAAAGACTTTTGCAATGAAAACCTGATTCTGCAGTATGGTCAGACCAGTTGAAAGTAAAAGTTTTATGCATTAAAGAGAAACATGGTATTAGGAGAGAATCAAACCTTGCATTCCAACAAAAGAACTTAACTCCAGCTTTGGAGCATAGCAGTGGAAATGGTATGGTTGCAGCTGCTTTGCAGCCTCAGGATCCAGAGACTTTGCTCTCATTGAGGGAACAATGAATTCATTGAGGGAACAATATAATTTACTAGCCAATTCTACAGGAGGATGTCAGGGTATCTGTCTGTGAGTTGAATTTTAAATGAATTGGACTCACGCCACACAACAATAATCCTAAACAGAACAAGTAATAGAACGGCTAAAGTAGAAGAATTCTGTATTTTGAATTGGCTGAAACAAAGCCCTGGATTTAATCCAATGAAACATCATGGCATAATCAGAAGCAAATAGTTCATGCGAGAGAGCCCAAAGATATCAATAGATTAAAGCAATTCTGTAAGAAAGACTGAGCCAAAATAAATACTTGCCTGTTGATGTGCAGATCTGATTATCTGGGACAGAAAATGTTAGGTGGAATCAATGCAACCAAAGTGCCACTAGTTATGTATTCTAATACTTTATATACTTTCAATGTGTTCACAAAAAGTATAACGCAGAACATTGTTTTCATGCTGTTTGTTTAACCAGAATCTCTTTATCTATTAACAGAACTCAGGTAAAGCTGAGATCTCAGTGTAAGTCATAGTACTACACGATAGTTCTAGAGTTTATAAATATCTAATTAATCTGTGTTTCACTGGAAAAGTTCCAGAACAGCATCATCAAATGAAATGTTTAAAAACTATACATCCACTATGTTTTCAAAATAAAAAAAAATCAACTAGGTTTTTATTTTAATTTGTCTCTCCAAATTTTATATGTTGTAAGTATGTACTAAAACTAATATGTAACACCCAATTTCAAATTTGCTTCACTGAGCCAGAATGTCTCAGTAGAGTAGAGTAGAGTGGAGTGGAGTGGAGTGGAGTGGAGTGGAGTAGAGTAGAGTAGAGTAGAGTAGAGTAGAGTAGAGTAGAGTAGAGTAGAGTAGAGTAGAGTAGAGTAGAGTAGAGTAGAGTAGAGCAGAGCAGAGAAGAGCAGAGTAGAATATGGAAGGGACCTTGGAGGTCTTCTAGTCCAGCCCCATGCTCAAGCAGGACAAGTGACTGTCTAGCCTCTTCTTAAAAAACTCCTGTGATGGAGCGCCCACGATTTCTGGAGGCAAGCTGTTCCACTGGTTAATTGTCCTCACTGTCAAGAAGTTTCTCCTTAATTCCAGGTTGCTTCTCTCTTTGATCAGTTTCTAACCATTGTTTCTTGTCCCTGCCCTCTGGTGCTTTGGTGAATAACGTGACCCCCTCTTCTTTGTGGAAGCCCCTCAAATACTGGAATACTGCTATCATGCCTCCCCTATTTCTTTTCTTTAGACTAGCCAAAGCCAAGTCCCGCAGCCGTTCTTCGTATGTTTTAGTCTCCAGGTCTTTGATCATCTTAGTTGCTCTTCTCTGGATTTTTTCCAAACTCTCAACATCTAGAGCACAAATGCTCCTGGCTCATGGCATAGATAGAAGCCAAAAGAGGACATACAGAATAAATGCTCTCAGTAGCACATAACTATTTAGATATGAGTGTTTTGTACTTCCACTTATGACACAATGCTAATTGGCACTACTCCTGAGAAAAGGACAAAAACAAAACCTGATGCACAAATATTTTCTGGGTTCTTATCCTCTCTTAAAACCACAAATTATAAATCAATGCACTTTCACTTACCTGCTCATATCATTATTAGAGCCCAAGGGACCAAAGTTCTTGATTCCTTAAAAAAAAGGATACAATAAACATAACTCAGTTGGCCACCCTGCACATTGGTGATATTTTAAAGGAGCATTGGTTGTCTCACACATTTTACTGATGTATTCTTTCAGTTCTTAGTAATTAGCCTAGAAAAGAAAGCTTTTCAAAAAAGAATTCAGTTCTTGATGCAAACCAGTAACTCATGTCCAATAAAAAGAAGCAATTTTGTTCGATCTGCTGATAATGAAAAAAAGAACCCTGCTGGGGAAAAAAAAAATAGACAGGAGGTACAAATGATTTCAGATACTATTGTTGAAAACCTGGGATGCTTGAAGATCAGACCTTGCTAAAAAGGGCTACTGATTCAGAAACAAGACTTCTTTTTCGAGCCCATTTTCCTTTTCCTCACTTCCACCCATATACTAGCTTCTTCTCATTGACAGCTACCTCCTACCTTTTCCTCACTTCTATGGTTTTTTTTTCTTTTTCTGCTGCTTCTGCTGAATTCAGTGTGAGATCAATTTGTGCATATAAGAATGATTGTTATCTATAGATGAGAGATTAATTATGTTTGTAGAGACATAGACATTTTAGTTCTTTTTGGACAATGGCTTCTGATATATAGATACATATATGCAAAAGTGCATAAACTTGTATGACAGATATGCTTTAATATTAAAAATTGCTCAGAATTAAATTTTATATATTTAAAATAGTACCAAAGATCAAAAGGCACTGTTACTCTTTTTCAGGCTAACACATTTTATTTAAAGGCATATATCTTTGTGAACTACACAACTTTAGATGCAACAAAATTTACTGAAGCTTGTAACTTTCAACAGCGTTGTTTGAGAAGGTCCCACCGGATACCTTTTAATTTTTAGTCAACATAGACTAGCATAACTCTCTTCCTCCAAAATATTACCAAGAAATTGAAATCATATCTTTTGGGGGGGGAAGTATTTATCAAAACGGGAACAGGATTACCTAGACATCAAAACATTTTTGCCAATAAAAAATTCAAATATTTAATTCAAATATTTTATTCCAAAAATTTTATTCCAAGAATAAAATACTTGGGGGCCAGTGGACACATTTTAAATTTTGACAACCCATTAGAATGATAAATATGATCAACAGCAAAAATCCGACTTTTTTATTCACTTGATTTATAACCTGCCTTTTGTCTAAGAGACAAAGAGTAGTATTATATAATGCATTCTCCTGTAATTTTCTCTTACTATCACTACCCTATAAGATAGGTGAGACTGAGAGGGAATAACTGGCTCAAAGTCACCCAGCAAGCTTCCCCTTTCCAGGAAGGATTAGAAACTGTGTCTCCCTGATCCTAGTCCAATCCCGTCTCACGAAAAAGCAAATTAATGAGCATCCTTTCCGCTACTCTCTCTAGCCCACATATAGGTAAGTACCCTTAGGTGTGTGTGAGGTGCAGCACAGGTTGGGTACATTAGAGGTATGGCATGGGTCAAGGAGGGTGCACCAGCGGTGTGTGAGTGGCTGGCGTGAGCATAGCAGGGAAGATTGCAAATGGCGATCTTATGAACACCAGGCACTGCAAGCAATCCTAAGTGCGAACCTGTTGCCAAGTGCCCAGATCACAATCGTATGACCGCAGGTGGTGGGAAGGCCGGAATTCCGAGGACCGTTCATAACCACCATTCATTCAGCATCGCCGTAATTGAATGAATGATTGTAGGTTGAGAACTATCTGTGTTGTCATTAACTTTTCCTTTTTTTAAGTTAAAGGAATCTAAAAAAAATAATTAGATGAAGCACAAACTTGCTGACAGTCAAAAGTGATGTATACAGGCAGCAACATAAGAATCATCTTGCCTAGTTCAAATAAAAAATAATATACCTCCTTTCTTATTCTTTCGCAAATAAAAAGTAATAAACTTCATGGCTAGTCCCTACAGTACTAGCATCAGGACTGCAGGCCAGATTCAAAGTGAAAAAGAAAGCCCAAAAGAGGCAATGTCAGACCACGTGCATTTTTACTAGGAAAACTGCATGAATGTGTCTGTGAAGTTATTGGAAATTGAGGCTGACTTGAAAGAAATACTACTTTTTAATAAAGTTTATAGGATACTTGCTACTATTAAAATGCAGTAGAGTTAGACAATGCTTTGATTTGATTTGAAAAAGGTCCTGGAATACATGAAAGAATCTTCCTCTCAGCAACCATTCAACCGTGAAAAAATGCAGCTCCTTTAAGGAGTTGCAGAAAGATGCTAGATCCACATGCATCCTTCCAAACAACCTCTTCCAAACTGAATCTGCATTCCAATTAAGTTAAGAGGGATAGTTAAGATGACAGAAGTCATTTTAGATGTAGAAATAGAAAATTTAGAGATGGAATATACCAGTGTGGGGTAGTATTTAAGCTGCTGATTATGGATTTACATCCTCACTAAATGGCTGGGCAAGACACTGCCTTTCAACCTCGCATTCTTCATTTGGTAACAATTGTGTGGAAAAATTAAACAATGAATTGCAGTTCTTGAAGAAAAGATAGCATAAAAAAAACAAATAAGTTAATTTAGATAAGATGTTGAGATCATTTGGACTAGTAATTGTTATCTAGAAATAATAATAATAATGATGATGATGATGATGATGATGTTGGAAGGGACCTTGGAGGTCATCTAGTCCAACCCCCTGCTTGGGCAGGAAACCCTATACCATTTCAGACAAATGGCTGTCCAGTCTCTTCTTGAAATCTTTCAGTGTTAGAGCATTCACCGCTTCCAGAGGCAGGTTGTTCCACAGGTTAATTGTTCTAACTGCCAAGAAGTTTCTCCTTAGTTGTAGGTTGCTTCTCTCCTTGATTAGTTTCCATCCGTTGCTTCTTGTCCTGCCTTCAGGTGCTTTGGAGAATAGCTTGACTCCTTCTTCTCTGTGGCAGCCTCCAATCCCCTAATCATCTTTGTTGCTCTTCTCTGTACTCTTTCTAGAGTCTCAACATCTTTTTTACATCATGGTGACCAAAACTGGATGCAGTATTCCGAGTGTGGCCTTACCAAGGCATCGTAAAGTGGTATTAATACACATGATCTTGCTCTATCCCTGTTAATGCAGCCTACCACTGTGTTGGCTTTTTTGGCAGCTGCAGCACACTGCTGACTCATATTTAGGTGATTATCCACTAGGACTGAGATCCCTCTGACAGTCACTAACATTGAGCAAGGTACCACCTATACTATACCTGTACATTTGGTTTTTCTTGCCTAAATGTAGAACCTTACTTTTTTCACCATTGAATTTCATTTTGTTAGATAGCGCCCAGTGTTCAAGTCTTCCAGATCCTCCTGTATCTTAAGCCTATCTTCTGGAGTGTTAGCTATTCCTGCCAGCTTGGTGTCATCTGCAAATTTGACGAATTCCCCATCTATCCCCTCGTCCAAATCGTTGATGAAGATGTTGAAGAGCACTGGGCCCAAAACAGCACTGGGGCACCCCACTACACACTTCCCTCCATGTAGATGCGGTTCCATTGAGGACCACACGCTGAGTACAGATGGTCAGCCAGATACTAATCCATCCAGTGGTGATGCTGTCTAACCCACATTTTTCTATCTTAACAAGTAGTAGGTTGTAATCTACTTTATCAAATGCCTTACAGAAGTCCAAGTAAATTATATCCACAGCATTCCTCTGGTCCACTAATTTTGTCACTTGGTCAAAGAATGCAATAAGATTTGTCTGGCATAACCTGTTTTTGACAAACCCATGTTGGCTTTTAGTAATGACTTTGTTTGTCTCTAGGTGTTCGCTGATTCGTTGTTTGATTATCTTTTCCAGAATCTTCCCAGGTATTGAGGTCAGGCTGATAGCTCTGTAATTTCCTGGATCCATTTTTTGAAAATGGGAACTACATCAGTTCTTTTCCAGTCCTCTGGTAGTTCCCCAGTGCTCCAGGATCTTTGAAAAATATAGTTCAGTGGTTCTGAGATCACATCTGCCAGCTCCTTGAGAACCTTGGGGTGTAATCCATCTGGTCCTGGTGATTTGAACTCATCTAGGCTGGACAGGTGCTCACTTAACATTTTCTTGCCTATCTTAACTTGTGTTTCTAGTTTATCTTAATCCACTGGACAGATAACTTTAAGATAATAACTCATTTTAATCTACTCAAATATAGCAAAGAAAGTAAATGCATAAGAGAATTTTAAGAGGGAAAATACTGTAGAAGGGTTAAAAATACAACAACTGGAGATCATTTTTATAAACTAACAAGGGCAAGTGACAGACCCTGAATTATAACATATCAAATGTTTACCAGTATGAAATGTCAAGGCAAGGTTGTAAATAAAAAAATATTGATAACTAAAGTACAAAGATAAATATACCATTCACATTTTTAGAAAGTTTCAAATCCGTCATTTAATATTCCATTTAGATTTTAACTTATTTCACTGCGATATATATTTATTCACTACTATTACTTACCATTTCTTGGCATTTCAGATGAAGGGATGAGATCAAACTTTAAGGATCCGGTGGCATAATCCTGAATACTTTATTCAATGCATTTGAAAGAACAAAACAATTAATGTTTTGTTAAGGAAAGAAGTATTGACAGTAAAGCATGATATTGAATTTAATCTTCATTTTATATATTGTATATCAACAGATTTAATACTGGCATTTAATCATTAATAGAGTTATAGCAGGGGTGTCAAACTCGCAACGTCATGTGACGTGTCATGACTTTTGTTCCATTGCTGGCAATGGGGTGTGTACGGTTTCGCCATGATGCATCCGGGCCTTGGGCCGGCAGTTTGACACCCCTGGGTTATAGGTATGCCATAGATTTAAAAGATAAAACCCTTTATATAGATAACAATATTCCACATTTTAATTTGAGTTAATATCACATGTATTGTAATAATTGCAAACAAGTTTGAATTTATAACAGCTTTAAATTTGGCTTAAAAACACTTATCTGCAGTTCAGAGATTACTTCTTAAAGAAACAGGTTAAATATGATCCTGACTTGTTTTTCCACATGTATGGAGAAGTGAAATGGTAAAACAGGACCCCTAGTGGACATTCTAAATCATTTAAGTTATAAATTAAGCTTAGAATGGAATATGAATGCAACCAATACTACTGCATCATATAGTTTAGGATGGTATTTCTAATTCTCAATATCCAGCATGCAAAATTCCAATTGCTTTACTAGTTTATTTCATTGCCTCACTTTAAATATTATTTTTCTGCAAGAACTTACTTATGGTAATTTGCTACTGCAGCAGAAGAGTGAATTTTAAGACTCTTTTCTTTTCCTTGCTTAAGCAGTTCTTTGTATTTCTCTTGCTCCAGTCTCTGAACTCCCTAGGATAAAACAATTATTACAATTATTTATCTTTAAGAGCTTAATAAACTTGATACTTAAAATTCATATTTTAAGCATACCCTTTTGTACTGTGCTTGAGATTTCATTCTATAAAACAGGGGAAATCATTTTATCTACTTCCTACCCACCAATGTCAATGTAGGAACCAGGCAACCCGACTGCTAGACACTCCAGCCTCAAGCTGCTGTTTTTGAATGTGGGTCTCCCTGTCTAAGACATGACTGTAGACGAGAAGACAAAGTAGCATGTGTTTCTGAGACCTAGCTGGATGAATGAAAGCTCCCCCTTCCTGAGATTCCTTCAGCAAAGTTCTGCACTTGGCATCACTCCCAACTCCAAGGCAGAGGAGTTGGCATGTACCCGAAGATCTTTGGCATTGTGATAAACACTATTCTACAGGTTTAGCAGATATGATGTTAGGATTGTGAGGCAGGGCCAAAGAGGACTGAGAATTGGAACTAGCCTATACTGTAGTCAATGGGGCCACAATTACAGAGGGTTTCGGAGGAAACAGATTATCTGGATCCAGGTTATCTATCTGCAGACTTGGGCATGGGATGGAAATTGCAATGGCTGTTCGTAAAGAGACTTGGATGTATGGAACTAAACTATCCTTATCCTCTTGTTGTGGGGAAAATGGGAGTCAGGACAACAACCCTGTAGTGATACATTACCACCAAAGCCCAATGATGGATACAAAAGTCCTGTCCTAAGGTCTGGTAACTGTCAAGAGTTTGGCTGGGGAAAAAAAAAGCTGGGAATCAATTCAAACAAGATACAGTAGATATTAATGCTAAGACTGTAATGTATTTTATTCTTGAGGACTGTGCTTCCCCAGATACAACAGGCTTACAGATGGGGTTCTCCTGGACTCATCGCTCCTGCTTGAGGAATGAGGAAGTCAAAGCCAGGAAGTCTCTATTCAACTTTGGCTGGTATGCCGGTTGCACTGAGGTTACATGCCTGAAAATACTATAATTTGCTCTGTAGAAGCCCTGGCTCACTAGTCATGATACTGCTATGTCACACCACTACTTTGGGAGCTGAACTGCAATGTATTTCTGAGTACAATTTATAAAATGCTGATATGGCCCAGGGCTTAGGCATCTAAGACACCATCATTTCTGTATTGATTCTGCCTGTCCAGTCAGACAGGCAGCACCTACTAAATGTCCTCACCTATCAGAAGTTATTGTAAGAGGGGAACTAATGGTGGATGTTCAAGGCATCAATAGAAAAAGATAGTTAATATTTGTAATAACAAATGGCTAGATTGGAAAAAGGTAATCGATCATTAGTCAACGGAAAAGCACTGTCTTATGAGTCCTGAAAATAAATGCCTAAATCTGATTAAGTAATAACCGATTTACTTAAGCAAGAATAAAAAAATTATTTTCTGCAAGTTGTTCTCTTTTGGTCTAGCCTACTTTGCAAGACTGTTGGTGCAGGGAAAATAGGCGGAGTGAGCATTATGCATGCCACTTTGAATTACGCAAAATAAAGGTGGATGTAAAAAGTATATAAATGTAACAAATAAATAAAATAAAAATTATTTAACATTGATCGACAACACTGTTAAAAGTTCCTAAATATTTATTGCCGTATAAATTTGACATAGTTGGTTGCAATAAGCAATTAATATGTTAAGAAAGTATCAACCATCTAGACCAAAGGTAGTCAACCTTGGCTCTTTTATGACTCGTGGACTTCAACTCCCAGAATTCCTGGCTCAGGAATTCTGGGAGTTGAAGTCCACGAGTCATAAAAAAGCCAAGGTTGATTACCCCTGATCTAGACTAACCTTAATCAGAAAGATTTAGCAAATGTATATACATCTGAGTGTACCTGCATTAGTGTGTCTGCGCACATATGTATACAAAAAACCACACATGTAAAAGATTAAATTGGACTATTTCCTTAAATAAGCACCGCAGTATTAATACTGCCAATATAATTATGGATTCACTGCTAGGCATGAACAGAATGTCAGCAGCTTCTCACAAAGATCCAAACAATTGAGCCACTTGGAACATACTCATACACCCCTCCCCCTCCCCACACACAAAATCAGTTACAAAAATGAATGGCCCAAAATCACACTTACAAAAATGAGAGACCAAAGCCAAGAAAAACAAAGTACAAAATACTTTGTCATGGCAAGAAATATTAGTTTAGCGGTGCTTGGAAGTGTCTCAAAATTCTACACTGAATAAGTATTACATGTATTCTTCCAATTCTTACACTGAACACAGAAACTATAAATTTTAATATAATTCAATCAATTTAACATACATTCTGCCTGAAACAAACTGCTTTCGCATTACTGAATCAAGTTCCATATTCAAATATTTTGTAGTAATGTATCTGCTATGAAGGATGATTTAAAATGCAACTTTATATATCTGCAGACTTGCCTCTTCCACTGTATAATGAGGTTTCCTTAGACACCTTCCAGACTCCAAAGAAGCAGCTTCTAATGAATGTCTGCGGGTAATATGCCTCCATGGCCGCAAATCCTCTTGAAGCACATTATGACTTTTCTTGTTACTGTTTTTGGAAGTAAAGTCATCTCTGATAGAAAAAAATAATAAAAATAAATCTGCATTTCTATTTGGATAACAACATGTCGTTTTGAAAAAGGTACGTATTTGAGGATTGCTAAAGAAGCATTATTCTTATTTATATTATTTCAGTCACAATAATTCAAGCTACTGGTATTTTGCGCATAAAAAAATGTCGGAGAAAGCATAATTAATTATAGCCCACCTTCCTGAGATTTCACACATTTCCCTGATTATTCAATTAATGTTAAATAGCCAAATGTACAAAGAGTTGAAGTTGAATTCTATATAATTTAGAAGCAAATTTCCTGTAGTATTTAATCTGTATTGATAAATGAAAACTTCCTGCAAGACAAGTTTATGTCTCATATATAATGTTCAACAATGTTTGTAAGAATATGCATTAATTCTTCTTGCATCCTACATTGAGGATGAAGATAAAGCCACATTGATCTAGTGGTTAATGCACCAGGCTAGAAAGCAGGAGACTGAGTTCAAGTCCTGCCTTAGCCATGAAAGCCAGTTGGGTGTCTTTGGCCAATCACTGTCTCTCAATCCAGCCCACCTCAGAGTTGTTGTTATTGGGAAAATAGGAGGAAATGTATTGGCTATATTCATCGCTTGAGTTGTTTGTGTAGACACACACACATACACACACACATATATCCATCCATATCCAAGTAGCATGGTGGCCTAGAGGTGAAGCGGCAGAAGTTTCTCTATCAGGGCATAAAGAGAAAATATCTGCTGCAAACTCCATGTAGGCATCAGGAAGGGCATCTGGCCAGTAAATGCTCAGCTCCATTCAGTCACCCTGACTCCACCCTAAATAAGAGGGATTAAGGGTCATACAAAAGAGAATAATATATATATATATATATATAGAGAGAGAATTTTATATATATATATATATATATATATATATATATATAGAGAGAGAGAGAGAGAGAGAGAGAGAGAGAGAGAGAGAAAACACACACACACACACACACACACACACACATATTTGTTCTGTTATATATATTATTTTAGTAATTTTTATTATTTTTGCAAACAACCCAAAGTGGCAAATATATAAAATACATCTGTGTGCATGTGCGTGTGTATAAACAGAACACTGCATCTTGAAACTTAGTAAAGACTTCTGAGTCTTTTATTCCTCAAAGTTCTACTTAATAAATAAAATATTCACCTCCATAAAGGAATGTATATTAGGAAATATCTATTTTTCTTCTCATTTTTAAAACAACGATCACACTTTTAACATTAAATTAGAACAAGGTTGCAGTGCAACGAGTGCAAAATGCTTGAGATTACTATCAATCCCAATGGAAAGTAAGTATTTAGGTAGCTGGTTAGAAAATGTTTTCTAAACTGCAATACTAATTTCAGGAATGAAAGAAATGATATACTAGTATATTATTAGCAATATACCAATGGCACTGATATATTATTGGCAATATACCAATGGCACCAGTAAGTCCATACTTGAAATACTGTGTCCAGTTTTGGCCATCATAATACAAAAGAGCTTCAGACTTTAGAAAGAGTGCAGAGAAGAGCAACAAAGATGATTAGGGAATTAGAGACTAAACTGTATGGTGAACAGTTGCAGGAACTGGGAATATCTAATCTGATGAAGAGAAGGACTAGGAATGACAGGGTAGCAGTCTTCCAATATTTAATTGGCTGTCACAGAGAGGAGGGGATAAACCTATTCTCCAAAGCACTTGAGGGCAAGATAAGAAGTAATGGATGGAAGCTAATAAAGAGAGAACCAACTTAGAATTAAGGACAAATTACCTGTCAATAAAAACAATTAATCAGTGGAATGGCAGAAGTTGTGAGTGCTCCATTACTGGAGGTTTTTTAAGAAGAGATTAGACAGCCATTTGTCCGGAATGATACAGGGTCTCCTGCTTGAGCAGGGATTAGACTAGAAGCTCTCCAAGGACCCTTCCTACTCTATTATTCTGTATTTTGTAATATGCCACATTTTTGTACAATGCTAGGTTCAACACTAATTATTTATGTTACAGTAGACAGAGAAAAAACTCCAAAGGGGAGTACTGTAATGACCCCGTGTTCTAAGAATTTAATTGTCTGTTGGCCACCAGAGAAAATTAAAAGTTTTACCTCATATAAGTCACTGGAATACGAGAGTCAGATGCTACATCTGGATGAATACAGGTACCATAACTTGCTTTTTTATCTATGGAAAAGATAGATTCATCACAACTAATTCCAAAACAATAGTATTCATTTTAATCTTATATGGCTGTACTCCAAAGAATTATTCAAGTCTGCCATATCAAACACATAGCAAAACTCATCCTCACTGGCAGATGTATTGGCTAAGAATATTTATATGATGCAATCCAATGCCAACAACTGACTTATAAGGAAACTGCAGCGTTCTAGAACACTTTTCATCAATTGATTAAAAACAAAAAAATATAAGGAATACATACTATAGCATGGAAGAACTGGAAAAGCTCAATATATACAAAGCACATATGGGAAGGAAGTGGTAAAAGAAACGTCCGTAACTATTTAAGAATATTCAGTGTAGACCCAATACCTATAAGCAATGGCCTACAATGTATAAGAGTAAATTACATCTTAGTGCAAGTAAAATAATAGCACAAACTAATTTAAAGGAATTATAACATGAGCTTCTTCTTAATCAAAATCAGCATATATTTTTTTCAATTTATAATATGCCATATAAGAGTTAAGTACTTCACCAAACAAAAATAATTACAACTATTGCAAAGGAAAATGAATACACCTATTAGAATAGTAGGATCTGAAATATAGCCAGAGTATCTATTGACTTACCAAAGTTACACATCTGCATCTCACAGTTAGGTTGCATCTGCTTATCAGCCAAGGCATCAGAAGCATTTGAAAAAAACTTGAAAATATTTGCATTAGTGTTACTCTAGTTATGTCAAACGAACAAAGGCCCTCAGCCACAAAATCTTGGTGGTCTTAAACTATATAGGTGTGATTAATAGGGACATCAGAGACTTCTCCCCTTAAGATCCACTAATTCATTCTCTAGAAGAATAACATACTTGCTTTACCTAAGTAATGTAGACCAATACTCTCTGAGCTGCCACCAAAAAGCATTACATATAGAAGAATGTTGCTTTCCTGTTCAACTCTTAATGAAAGCTTTTTCCCACTCACTAACGTTCATTTCTCATGCATTCATTCAGCAGCTCTATAGTCAGTCTTAAGGATCAGCAAGAAGAGTACTTGTTTGCTTTCTCTGTTTATTCTGAAGAAGCAAGAGGAAACAGAAGAAGATACCTTTGCCCAGAGTTTGCTTTGCTGCTTGTGAAATATGGCAGAGGTAGTTAAGATAGTAACGCTAAGACTGAGGACACAGGCTGACATCAATTCCCAGATACAAAAGTTCACTTGGTGACATTGGGCCTCTATTTCTCACCCAACTATTTTGACTGGGATGTACTGGAGAAAATATGTATGTTAGCTTGAATAGCTTACAACTTCTGGAAATGATACATTCCATTCTCTCTCTAATTTAATCATGTTGCTATTCCAGAAGACAAAAGATCACAGACCCAAGGATTTAATTTGCAAACAAAATGTTTGCACTTTATTTTTATCTTTTCAAAAGGCACACAAACCTCTTTTGTGGTTTCAGCATATTGATCTCCAACTTGAAAATATTTAGCTGTTAAGTGGGATGGTAGCTTAATCAGACTGACAATTCCTTGAGTGAATATACCAAAAATATCTGGAAAAAGTTAAAAGTATTAAGCTTATAGTCAGAAATGCTGACCTTCAAAGCAAAACATCATATTTATAAACAAAATGACTCCCGCGTTCATTTGATTCAACTTTGGCAAATGTAAGAAGAATATTTGGAATAAAATTCATGCAGCATGATTTTTTTATTCTGAATATTATTCTTACATTTGCCAAAATTCATAGGTAGGTCCAGCAATGTCTGCAGCAAACTTTGAGACCCAAAAACATACATAGGGTGATGTCATTGACTTGTCTTATTGTACTGGCAGGATGCATTTGATATGATACCATTTAGCACTTTCCTGTTTATAAACATTGTATTGACTTAAGAGATATATTTATGAAAGTTCCTGTTTTATTCTAACATTCTACAATCTATTGAAAGTACTAATGTTGGGGGGGGGGATTGTTTTCTATCTTGGTTCAAATGTGATATTCATTTTATTTATTCATTCATGGTACATATATAACACCAAATTCCCAAAATGATTCAAAATACTGAATTACTATCTTTTTATTAAATCCATCTCATCTACAGTTATATAAAAAAATATCCTAACTGTGGGGATCTTCAAAAATTCATTATAAAATTAAATCATGAGCAATGGCTGCTGCTACTTATTGTTAAAAGTCCTTCAGTAAGGATTTGGACTAGCAGATACTTGCTTGTTTTAGAACAGGCTTTTTATTATATTGCTTTATAGTAATTCAACACTTTACTCCCCCTGTTCCACTTCCATATACCAGATAAGACAACCTCCCCATATGGACATTATTTTTAATAAATTTTCTTTTTGTTCTAATTAAATTATGTATCAGTTTCCTATGATTATATAGCAATGTTCCTTACCTGCAGTAAAGCAGCCTTATGGCTTTAGATGTTAATAAATTAGCTGTTTCGAGTTCAAAACTGTTCACATATTTCCAAAAGTGTTATAGCATTGTTGCAAGCACTCAGGAAATGTTCTAAGTTTGAAACAGCGTTGTTTTGAACTTGAAACATTTCTAAGATGATTAGGCAGCAATAAGTTTAATGAGTTGAACATTCTTACTTTTAGGTCAAAACAGTTTTCATAATTGTTAATTATTACAATTTAGATTAAAATCCTTTCAAATATTTATGAAGTTATATTTCAGTCATGAGAAACATCACAGAAAGTAGACATTACCAAGTTTTTGTCTTTTTGTTTGCTCCTGATCAGGCTCTTCTACATAGGACTGAGAACTAAGGAGAAAAATAAATCTCTTTAAGGAACAGTAGTGCTGACTAAAGAACTGGTTCACAAAACTATAAATTAAATGCTCATATTTTTAAAAATTCTCTACATCAATAACTGGGACATTATATGATCTATGATATTCATAAAATAATTCATTAATAGTTTGTAACAAAAAGAATTATGTGCATGTTTAAATCACATGACTTTTTCCAAAATATTTGCTCTGAGATTGGCAGTACTATCCTGGGAGTTGAAATGCTGTAATCGTTCATTCATTCATTCATTCATTCATTCATTCATTCATTCATTCAATTAATCTTTATGCTGCCATTTCCCTGTAAGTTAACTCTGGGCAGCTTACAGATTATAAAATGAATAGAAAAATAGGTACGATATATTTCTCGATGTGGGCCCCTTCCTTTGGATTATCTTCTCTGCAGAGATTAGGCTGGCCCCAACTTTGACACTCTGAAACTCTGGTTTTGCCAATAAGCCTGGGGAACCCAGAGTGGGATGGAGCCAATCAAGTAGCTCATGTGATTTCTTGTTGTCACCAGGAGGGTTGGAAATTATAGTTGTTATTTTTTTAATATTGGTTTTTTTTATTGTTTTATAAGCCTTCCAGAGTCACGGAGAGTCATATACACTCTTCTAAATAAATGAATATTATAATATTAAAACAAATGAATATATTAAAACTTGCAGATTAAAATGTAAAAAATTATATAAAATCCAAAATTAAGAGACAATGGACAGAAAAGAGGTCCTCTTATCACTGTTAACTACTTCCAGTGGTGAGCACCCCAAGCCAAGTTTTAATACCCCTCTGGGAGGCCAAAATGATGGGAGCAGTTCTCCAGTGGTGGAATATTCCACAGGGATGAGGCCATCCTGAATCCACATAAACATGTCTTTCCCTCCTCCTCTCCCCACAACCTCATCCCAATTTAAATCTTACCTCAGTTTAGTAACTCTATGCATTTGATGAAGTGAGTTGCAGCTTATAAACTTGTATACCTTTTAATAAAATTGTTAGCTGGAAAAGGTGCTACCAAGACCCTCTGTTTGGGGACCTCACCATCCCGCCAGAATTTTCCAATTCTGTGAATCCATCCACAAAGAGGGAATTTAATAAGGATCTAAGAACCAGTTTGGTCTAGTGCAGGGGTCTTCAAACTTGGCTCTTTTATGGCCTGTGGACTTCAACTCCCAGAATTCCTTAGCCATAAAAGGGCCAAGTTTGAAGACCCCTGGTCTAGTGATTATTAAGGCATCAGGCTAGAAACCAGGAGGTGTAGTCCCAGCTCAAGCATCAAAGCCAGCTGGGTGACTTGGGGGCGGGAAGAATATTAGGTATTTTCGCCACCTTATTTATACAATTAAAGAAAGCGGGGTAAAAATAAATAATAACTGCAAAACAAATATATGAAGGAAAAGTGAATGAGTCGAGAGGAAAGGAAGACCCAGTAAGTCAAGGCTAAAGGGAGCTGACGTGACGCCCACTTTAACTCTAGCTCGGGCTATCATGCAGGAGGCGTTCAGATCCTTTCCCGCTTACGTTGAGTCTCTCTCGATTCACGCCAAAGCCTATAAAATCTTCTGAGCAGCACCATGGAAGTAATTTGCCTTTACCTTGTTCCGGGAAGCTTTTCGATTGCCCGGACTAGCCTACAGCCCTGAAATGATTTCGTGCTCACCTGTGATATCGTCTCTTCCGCGGTCGAGGTAAAGAAGGCTCCACATCCCGGTGACAAGAGGAAGGTGAGAATACCCAAGAACGCAGAGTCTCACAGACCCACTTGTACATAGGCCTCAGCCTCCACGGCCAGGCCGGAACTACGTCACAGATGACGCGTACTAAATAATAGAAGCCCTTCCCTTATCACCGAGAGAGGCCCTTTTTAAACATTCCTCTCGGTCCGCGCAGTTGGAGTAGCTGGACTCAAGAATGGCCTCGTTCTAGCAATTCGGACGGAGCTTCGCTTCGGTTTACTTCGCCGACATCAGGCAAGCAATCAGGCACCCTCAGCGTGACTTCCTAAAGTCCTAGAACAAAACCAAACGCATTCTGGTTCAATATAACTCGTCTTGGCTTCCAAACTCTGATTTTCTGATTTGTGGTTTATGAGTCTATATGCATTAAGCTATTATTTGAAATGTCATGATTAAACATTGGTTTAACGTAAATCATGTCTTTAAGTGTCTGTTCTTCTGGGCGACTCTTAATGCTTAGAGCGGAATCGTAGGTTAAGCAGATCCGATCCTGCTCACCTTGACTCACTCGTTCATTTATTAATAAAGGGGTGGCCTACAACCAATAAAACAGCGAACCAACAGTAATAAAATTAAACGCTTTTCCTGAGATTAGTCCAGGTGCAGCTGTGTGTCTCTAGACAAAGAACTATCAAGTACAGGCAGAGCACGACACCTCAGGTTTTAATATCCTATAAAGTAGCGTTTCTCAACCTCACCAATTTTTAATACTCAGCGTTGAAGTCCCTACATCTTAAAAGTTGCCGATGTTGAGAAAGGGTGCTATAGAGAATAGTGGTGCACCGACCAAGCTTCTGTATGTACTCTTTGTACAGGAAGTTTCGCCATTTACTTAATCTATGGAAGGAAGGAGAAACTGTGTCACTCGCCCGAGTGTGAGTTGTCAGTTCAAAGGCCGTTGCCTTTAGTTCCTGCTCCTCTTGGTGTCCCTTATGAGCGGCGGCGATGCGGTCATTGGTGGGCTTCTTGCTGGTCCTGGCAGCAGCCACGTCGGGCCTTTATTTGCTAACTGCCTGGTTGCCTGGAGGGCCGCGCGGGGGAAGCGGGTGAGTTGGCTGTCTCTTCTTTATTTCGGGCTCGCTGTCATGCCGGGCGCTCGTGTCCCGAAGCGACCAAGCGAGTTTTGGTTTAGCGGCAGTCAGGCAGTTGAGTTCTGCAAGCTATCTTAGCTCCCGGTGGATCTCAACTTTCAAAGGCCGAAGATCTGGATTTTTGCTGAAAATGGCTAATGACGTTGAGAGCCGACTGGAAAATACATCGCCATCGAAATTTTGCAGACGCGGCAATGGTGCTGCTGAGGACTCCGAAGTTGTTATGAAACCTAATCGCAATAGCGCGTTTATCTACAGTGATTTGACGACCCTGCTTTGAACGACGCTGTTGTTTGTCGAAAGGCGATTGAGTGATTGCAGTACATTATATCCTTCTGCTTTGTATGTAGGCATTAGATTTCCTCTAAGCTGATTTTAAAATGCTTTTAGCATAGTTTATTCAATTTTAAGGTATCTTAATTTGATTTATCCAGCAAGGGTTGTCCTTTGTATTATAGTTTGAGATGTCATATATGTATGAATCTTGCTCCCTCACCTGGCCCATAACATTCTATGGGAGGAGAGTAGTTGCATAATAAGAATTAGGTTTAGAAACACACCATAAAGTATTTCTAAGGATCCTCAGTAATTATTTCAGATACCTATTCTTGCTCTACCTACTACCGGTAAGAGCAAGTTTCTCCTATAGAAGCACTGAATAAAAACAGCATATCTACTTACCAACCAACATCTTTCCTAAGTAATTTAAAAGGAATAGGTCAAGTCCAGCAAAGCAATAAATATAGAATGAAATAATCTTGGTGTTTTGTTTACTTTCTCTGAGAAAATCAAGAACATTTCCTACAGTAGTTTCTGTAGGATTTTTTTTCTTCGATTCAATTGTATCTGATTCTTGGAGATTATCTGGAATTTCTTTCTTTTCCTCTGAAGTATATGTCACTTTTTTTCTTCATAGGTCATCTTTTTCTTTCATATGTTATTTTTTTCTCTAAACTATATGACTTCTCTTAGGAAAAAACGTTCAGCATAGCACCATTTAGGCATACTGATACTCTAAGAATTTAAAAAAGAATAATGCAAACAAATTTGCTAAATTTAAATGCCATTCAATTTGCAGTGATTCTGGGGGTATAGAAAATATTGTAAAAAATCTAATATAAGAAAGAACATTAAACAAAAAGGAACGAAGATGGCAAAGATATCTAACCCACATAGGAACAAACAAGAAGGGCTTCATGCTTGCCAGAAGCCTGGACAAAGAGCCATGACTTGAGAGCCTTTCAAGTCAACATATAATAAATTCATTATCACAAAACACATGATGTCTATTAACTTTGATGTTTTTAAAAGGCTTCTAGATCAGTGGTTCTCAACCTTTCTAATGCCGCGACCCCATAATACAGTTCCCCATGTTGTGGTGATCCCCAACCACTTATACATCACCAAATGCCAGGGGTGTGGCCAAAGAAAAGGGGGAAAAATGGCGGACAGCCTTGTTTGGCGACCCCCGTGAAATGGTCGTTCGACCCCAAATGGAGTCCCGACCCACAGGTTGAGAATCACTGTTCTAGATAGACTCCTGGATAATTATTCTATCAAAAGCTGTTGGTAATAAAGATTCAGCGTTATATCTTGATTGGGTGTAGCATGTCTTCATATACCAGTACCAGGAGAACAGTAGTGTGAGAGAACTATCTCCTGCTTCCAAGAATACCAAAAATGTCTAATTGGCCACTGTAAGGAAGAAAATGCCGGACTAAGATGAAGATGGTCTCAACCAATAGAGCTGTTCTTATAAGTATTGGGGTTTATTGAAATGAAACAATATATGGCATGACTAATTATACAGCCACAGTTAAAGGAAACACATTGTTTAAAGGTACAGTATAACTTTTGTTGTATGGACATCACAAATGTACAGAGCTTTTATTTTTTACATTTAAATTATAGTAAGGGTCTCATAAATTCCTTAGATGATTTGGAGACAAACTTTTAGTTTTTTTAATGAAGGATGCAAGGAGGTGGGGGGGAAGATAGTTATGAAAGATGATTGGAAATTTTGCTCTTTATGGTAAACATTACTAGGATAATTCAACTGGAATTTTGGTCCATTTTCAAGTTTATGAAGCTTAATATCTATTGCTTGATTTTCTATTAGTTTGAGCAACTGTATTTCAGTGATTGTATACTTCCAATAGAGAGCCATTTTGGTATAATGGTTAAGTCATCAGTCTAGAACTTAGAAGAGTGAGTTTTAGTCCTATCTTAGGCATAAAGCCAGTTGGGTGACTTGGGCTGGTCATATTTGTCAATCCTAGGAAGGAGGCAATGGCAAATCACTTCTGAAAAAAATCTTGCCAAAAAAACTGCAGGAACTTGTCCAGGCAGTCTCTTGAGAATCGGACATGATTGAATGGAAGGAAAAGAAATACTTGTAATAATGTTAATAGCTGTTTGTTTCCAACACAAAACCCAGTCTCCTATCTTTTTTTTTATAGTCCTGCAGATGTTGTTATTGTTAAAGATATATTTGTCTTGTCGGAACTAAAATAGTACAAAATGTTAATATTTTGTTTTTAAGATGACTTTTGATTTGATGTTTCCTTTTAACCTCATTTTAAAAAACAACTATTATAAACATGTTAAGTAGCAAAAAAAACCAAATACCAATATTTGTAAAATTAAACTGATTTATTTTCTTGAGAGAGCTCCATGTTGCAATAAACCTGTTCATCTTCAAGGCTAATCTCATAATTATCCTCTGTTCCTTCTTTTAATCCAATCATTTTGCAACTAAACTAATTATGTTCTTTCTTTATCAGGTCATTAAAATTCCCCTCAGATCTAGAGGAACTACAAGAACTTGCAGAGTTTCTACAGTACTACAATAAAGAGCACCATGCATACGTGATTCTGCTTTTCTGTAGTGCTTACCTGTACAAACAAACCTTTGCCATACCAGGCTCTAGCTTTCTGGTATGTATATATGTCATAAAAGTCATAGATTGGTTTTGCAGCATGTTGCAAAAAAATTATTGCCATACCTATATTGTTAGATATAAAATTTATCCTTCCATAACATATACTTGCTGCTATTTTTATGGAACCTTTTCATGAACATATGTAGAAATATGAATATTATTTTGTCCATTCATAGGAAAACCCCTTCAGAATATAATATGTAGATGTGTGAGAGAATATTGTCCTGGGAGCCCTGAGTTTTTATTGTGATTTTTAGGAGGTGCTGTTTTTATTGCCTTGTGAATTGTCCAGGGTTGTGATTACAATATAGACAGCCGTATCAGTCTTATAAATAAATGTTCCATCTTGCTGAAAAGTCAGAGTATATATTTTATATTATATATTTTATAAGTGTACTTTTTAAGCAATCAGGATATACTAAACTCAATGAATCATCTGTCAGAAGGTGGTAAGGTTAAAAAGTAGATACTAGTCATAGTATTTCCAGCCAGCATGCACAAAAGAGACAAAGAAGCAAGCTTTCTTTGTAGCATCTGTTGCCACAGAGCAGAATTTCAGATGAATCATAAAAATAATTATTCCTTCTCCTCATCACCATGACTTCAATTTAAGTTATGTTTATTGGGGTTCATTAAAAATGGTTCATTATTCTTTAATTCTGAATTATTTCTACTGTTCCATTTACCATTTCAACCTGATGTGAGTTTTTTGAGTTACTGGGAGGTAGAAATGGAGGACAACCAGATCATTTTATTGAGGAACAGTAGAAAAATTCTTGGTGGACAGTTGTATAATAGCATATTGAGGCTCATAATATAGTATACTGTATTATATTAAGAGTAGCAAACATCTGTGTTTTATACCCAGTTTATGGATTTGGCAGAGACATCATTGACCACTGCTATTAATAGTATGAAGTAAATGGACCAGGCAAGGCTGTTCTTACATTCTTATGGTTCATAAAGCCCTTAATGCTTTCCCCACAGTTTTTAATAGACTGGATCATTATCTAGTTTTGCTCTAACAGAACATCCTTGCTGGGGCTCTCTTTGGACCATGGATAGGACTTCTGTTATGTTCTACTCTGACTTCTGTGGGTGCTACTTGTTGTTATGGACTATCCAGAATTTTTGGGAAAAACTTTGTTATGTACTATTTTCCTGATAAAGTCACCATGCTTCAGAGGAAGGTAAGAAAAAGCTAATTACAATTAAATTTTATTTAGTAATAGATAAGAATTGTATATAATAGAATTCAACTGTATATGGCTGCACCTAAAATATCTCAATTTCAATTTCTGGCATTGCAAAAAAAACTCTTATCTGAAAACTTGAAGACCTGCTCCTAGTCAGTATACAAAATTTGAAGCTAGATGACCCAGTAATCTAGCTTGGCAGAAGACATCTTGCCATGCTTCTGTGATCATATTCTAGCCGACAAAGTTTACTGCTAGCGATTTAACATGCACTGACTGAAGTTCTAAAATATTCCTTCATGAGCTTGTTACATAGTTTTATAAGATTTTAACCATCCATGTTATAAAGTTATTAGTAATCCAAATTAGAAGAATAAAAAAATGATTGAGAGCATAGGGCCACAAATTTGTCTTCTGTAGGCACTTCTTCAACTCAAACTTGTTTTGTGCAATTATCTACATAAGCCAGGAAAAGATGCAATTTCTTTAGAATAGAATATCTTTACTGTCTTTGTGTATCTCACAATGAAATTAAGTGCTGTCCACAGTGCACACTACAAACAGGTAAAAAGCACAAGTAAAACATACATTATATGCACACATCCTTCACATTCTATTCACCATTGCACTGGCCCTAATATTGCACTTCAAGGTTGCACTATATGTAGTATTTAATGTGGTTACAGCCCTGGATAAAAACTATGTTTCCGCCTATTTGTCTTCGTTTTATTATCCTGTACCATCTGCCAGATGGTAATAGTTCAAAAAAAGAATGTCAAGGATGAATCTTTAAGAATGTTTTGAGCTTTCCTAAGACCGCAGGAACTGTATAGTTTGTCCAGAGGGGAAGAGAGGGCAGCCAATAATCTTCTGCGCAATAATAATGACTTTAAAAAGTGTGCAGTAAAATTGCTGCATAGACCTATAGTAAATGCTTTTTGCTAGTATGGGCCTATACCTAATCAATAGAACACAAACAAGAATACCATGGTAACTATATCTTCCACCAGCAAACTGTTTCTTTACTTTGTTTATGTCAGTGGAAAATGTGTGCTAGTCTTAGCTCCTAACTAGTAGCCCACATTTGGAAGGACTCCTTCCAGTCATAAATGGGTCCAAGCTGCAGAAAAAAACTCTGCTTTTTAAAGACAGAAGGAAGTTTTCGGGCATTCTTCCTCCCTTCACTGTCTTTCCTCAGGCTCCTCAGATTTCAAAGGAGAAGGGAGAATTATCAGAAATACAGTATTCTTCCCTCGTCCCCATTCTCTTGTGGACGCATTCCTTAAAAGAACAGAAGAGATGATAAATAATAAGTTGATTAATTGAATATTATTTAGAACATGTTTGTATTACAGTACTATATAACCTTTGGGAGAAAAAAGCAGGTGTGGAAGAAAGCAGTTTGATCATGTCTGGTTTTTATCTTTTTTGGTGGGGCTTCCTTTGACAGGTAGAAGAAAATAGACATTCCTTGTTCTTCTTCTTGTTATTTCTGAGACTGCTCCCCATGACTCCAAACTGGTTTCTGAATCTTGCATCTCCAGTCTTGAACATCCATGTAACTCAGTTTTTCTTCTCTGTTCTCATAGGTAAGAACAAAAGCATATTTACATCCATATTGTTTAGTATTTTATTTGGTCTTTCTTCACTTTTGCATTATGCTTGCTTCTCATTATTTCTATTATTCAAATTCAGTGATTTTTTTTTTTGCTTGCAGTACATGTGGAATAATGGTATGGATGTTTGTAAGTAAATGGTGTGAATGGAAGAGATGGATGAATCAATGAGCCCATCTTCTCTCAAGTTTCTGGAGCTATAAACTTTTAGTGTTCTTTGAGATAAAGCATGAACTGAACTGATTCTTGAAGAAGAGGTGGGAAGCATTTCTGCCTGGCTATGGCAGCTTTTCACAAATGCAGATAGCAACCTCAGCTTCAATGAACACACATTGGATTTCTTTTATATGTGTCCATTAGGCTGCAGAAAGCAAATACATAATTTACAAATCACATAGCAAGAACATATTTTTGCTAGGATTCCCTTATATTTTGCCAGAAAGTGCTAACAGAAAAACACTGATTTTTTTTGTTGAGTATATTACTTCTTATTGTGAGAATTGAAAAGTATCTCCAATTTAATGCCATAATTTCAACAATTCTTAAAGTGATTAATAAAGAAAAACTTCATCAGTACCATTTTTATAATGGTACTGATGAATTTTATACCATTTTATACCATTTTTATAATGTGATTTAAGATGTTAAACCAGGTTGAACAAACTGTAAATCTATCTATCTATCTATCTATCTATCTATCTATCTATCTATCTATCTATCTATCTATCTATCTATCTATCTATCTCCAGGTAAGCAGAAGTTTCCACCTTGTTCATGTGTAGAGAACATCTATACATCAAACTTGCAAATTCTTTATTTTCTCCAATGGCATTTGTAAATTTATGCTTTTTCTCCTCCTTTGATGCTCATATCTAGTCCCCTCCATTTGTATAGTCAAGCCTTTTTTTCTGTTTGCAAGGTAGAATTTATAAGAGTTTGTGAAATGTATACATTTTTCTAATCTTAGAATTATCCTCTTTCACTTACAGGATTGACTCCCTATAATTTTATCTGTGTCCAGACAGGCTCAGTACTTTCACAGATATCTTCCTTGGATAACATTTTATCCTGGAGTAACTTATTCAAGATGTTGGCTATAGCCACGATGGCATTAATCCCTGGGACTCTTATTAAGAAATTCAGTCAGAAACGTCTCAGTTTAGACAAAAGTGAACAGAAAATTTACCTGCTGAATGGAAGAAAATACAACTGAATAGACTATCCCTAAATGTGGAATTCTATTTAAGGGAGAATTGGAAAATAGGTATTTTGAATCAGCAGTTCTGTTGTCATTGAACTTTGGACTTCTTATTGCTGTTTTAGGCATCTTCTTTTGCTAATGTATAAAGATGAGTCTTTTAAAATACTGTTTTTTAAAAAGAGCTGAAACTAGTGTGTCCCATTTTATAAAATTACTGGTGATCCAGTTCATCCAGAAGTCAGAATTTGAGGGACCAAATGGACCTGCATCTATTGATTTGAGGAAATCTAAATCCTAGCATCACTGAGGAAGCCTGAAATTGCTTGCCAGATGAACAGCATTTGTTTTGCACATGAAGCAGTTACAGTGTTGTATTTGGGCCAGATATTGATTTATTTAAATAATGCCAATGATGAATTGTGTTTCCTCCCAATGTGAGGAATGCAGTGAAGTTTTGTATTATTTCCTTTCACCAGTTGAAACATCACAGAGAAGAAAAATGATATAGAGGGAGCTACAGTCACGCAGGAATGGCTTGCCTCTTATCTTTCTGAGCATTAAATTTTTTAATAAGTATTTTATGATTTCTTGTATAAGGTAACATGAAATGTCTGCGGGGTATAGAAGACTTCAGATTAAGTCTGAGGAAATTTTCATTCTAGCAGTATGGAAAATTGCATTTTTCATTTTTCAAAGTAAAATTATATTAAGCAAAAAATATACTTTGAATATAATAATTGAAATTGTTATATTGTTTACTCAGTCCAGTTTTCATAGTTGTGAAAATCCTCTTATAATATGGCACTTGTTCTTAATCCAAGTGTTAGTTAATGCCATTTTCCCCTGAATTTCCTATTTGAAAATGGCCTTGGTCTTGCTTGTCTCTGCATCAAGCTGCAGCTTCTTCAGAATTCAGGAAAGAGCCTTGTTTGGTCCTTTTTATACTACAACAAAGAAATGGATAGAAGACAAGGTGTTAATGAAAGTATTAAGGGGTTGTTGTTTTTTTGCCTGATGTCTGCAGTGATGCAAGTTTGCCATTTTAGAAATCAACGCAAGCAGAAAGTTCAGTATCAATTACTGGACTTTCTGTGAATATTTCCCTAATTTATTTGAGGTGGTCTTTGCTATACTCTAAACCAGAAGTGGGGAACAATGGCCCTTTTATGACTTATGGACTTCAACTCCCACAACTTTATAACTTGTACTTCCTTGGCTGGCTCAGGAATTCTGGGAGTTGAAGTCCACAAGTTATAAAGGGGCCATTGTTCCCCACATCTGCTCCAAAAAAAGGTCACATTGTATTAAATGTATCAGTCTTAGCAAACTTCTTAGGATGGTTGCTGTTGATTCTTTGTACATGTGGTATGCCAAGAAAACAGTAATAAAAGCTGATCTGAAGAATACACTGTGGCAAGTTATAACTGATTATCTGGTTTGCATCAGCAGGAGCAGCAATTCTATCTTAAGCACTATATTTTTTTTTCAATAATACTTCTTGTCATCATGAAAATCGTAATGTTTATTTTCACAGACATTACATATTTATCAGATAAATGGTAGTGAAATGACTTTATGAAGTGCCATATGAGTCTGTATAGCTCTAACCAGGTCTTGATCAGCTCCTATCTTTCAATTGTGCACATTAAATAATGAAGAAAAAGCACTGCTTGACTTTGTTTCAAACTGCTCATCTTTTCCTTCAAGCAAGAAACAGTAGGCTGGCATGCAGGAGGCTTAATTTAGCTCCAGCTATATTATGTTGTAAGGCTGGCACTTTTATACTCAGGAGATAGCAATAATAGGCTGATGTTAGAATAAGTACTCCTTAACACAGGATATAGAGAGGAATATATTCACATTCATGTTGTCCTTTAGTAGCAAAGGACATAACTAAATTGAATTGAAAGCTGAAAATGTCAAATCCTGCAATAAAGTAGCACTTATACAGAATAAGTTATATTGTATTACATTTCCTCCACCCAAAACAATCAGCAAACCACCTCCTTATAGTTTGAAACCTATAACTACTGTTCAGAAAAAAAGGATGATTTTTGAATACACACAGATACGCCTTTGAGTCATACATTTATGTTCAATATTGAAGCTGAAAACATAATGAGGTACACTGGCTTTTTATTCCATGCATCTATTTGATAGTCATTTGTTCCCAATTGTTATACACTGTTCAATACAAAAAGAAATCACGTTTGCCTCAAAGTAGAGAGAAAAGACAGCACAGAAGATAAAATTATAATTTTATATGACATATAAACATAATAATTTTCACTAACCATTAGCCAACGTATCGATTGTACCGTAACTGGACCCAGGAAGTAAGAATAGAGTGTACGAATCATGAAAATACGCCAAAGAAGGCTTTTCAATCAAAAGCTATCTCTGGTTTGCATTGCTTATTCTTATGCTTCGCCACTGTTAACCCCTTAATCAGGTAGTTACAATATTGTAATGCCCTTGCACAGAACAATCATAACACAGCAAGAAAAGTCACACTAATTCACACATGGCAATACTGTGTCATAAACTAAATGAAATGATTTATGGCTTTTGGTTTGAAAAATTTAAGAACTAAATCTAGATTCTGCTATTCCTTTGTAGTCTAAGATTCTATCAAAGAACTAATACAATAACAGTACTATTTCCCTTTCTTATTACAAAATTGCATCATTTCTTGTGCTAGCTGGTTCTATGAATTCAATATAATATGTGAAAAAATATCTTGGCTCCCTTTTCTTCCAGCAAACAGACCTCTTGCTTCCCAGGAGAAAGGAGAGTTAATATTCTGTTTCCTACTATCTATTCCCATAGTTCTGAACATTTTTCTTAATATTTAATGCTGTGAACTAATGCTCCAGAAATCAAAATAGTACTTTTCTATTGGGGCGATAGAATACAGCAAGCTTTTTAAAATGCCCAAATTTACCTGAGAATTGTTTCCATGTTTAAAAGAAATGTTTAATTTTCACATTTGAGAGAAAGCTTTAAAAAGGTAACCAGCATATACTAGAAAATCAACTATGTATGTTGGATCAATATTTAAAGTGGAATTTGTCAACATCCAAAGTTTAGAGTTAATTATTCTATCATTCTTGAAACAAAACATGCATACATCTGTTGTAATAATAGAACAAGCAACATCTCTGCTTAGAGTCAGGTTACATCACTGTTGAATATAACTATTGCCTATGTACCTAACTTTATAACAGAAGGAGAACTTGTTGTATTGACTGTTTTCCCACAGTGATCATAATATGTAGCCCAGCTGTCAGTTTAACTATTGTCAACAATAACACTGCTTAATTTGGATCCCCTTGCAATTGTGAGACTATATTTATTAAGACATAAGACATTTTTAATTTGTGCTTTAGGGAATGCTTTGAAGTTAGAACTGATATATAGTACAATTGAACTGGGAAAAGTAGGATTGCACTTATGATTAAAATTTCAGTTTCAAAACTTTTTCTACTTGTTTACAGCTGAACAAACTATTTTAGGTATAATTTGATAAAAATGTATTTAGAAGAATCCTTTTATTGTATTTAATAACAAACCATGGATTTCTAGCCATTTGGAATGTTTGTAAATTGATCAATAACAAATATTAAGACACATCCAAAATATCTGCTAGATATTACATTCTTAGAACCCCCCAAATTCATTTTGCTTCTTAAACCAGTGTCTCCTAATAAGTAGAGCTCTTTGGGTATGAGCAAGTTAAAACACTTTTTTTTTTTCCAGTGTGATGAGATACACAGGCTACACATTAGCAGGAGAGTGTAAGACTGAAAATTTTACTGGATATGTATCCTAATTATTTCTTGAATCACAAAATAAGTCTCTTGAAGAATTGCATTGTGCAGCAGGTCAGTGCAAATACCAAAAAAGAAACAACCAGTATCTACCGGACCCAAGAAAGATAATTAAATTGGACACATTCTGCATTAATGTAGAGACTTATTCTGGGGAAAAACTACTTTATTGGTAAAAGACATGCTTTGCATGCATAAGATTCCAGGCTCAATATCTGCAATTAAAAAATTACAAGAAAATCCTTCATTTAGGATCCCAGTTAATTTTTGCCTGCCAAATTGATAGTTCTACACTACTGTATTCTTTTTCCAGGGTAGCAGGGTATTAGAATGGAACTTCTCATAGAAGAAATATTGGGGTAAAGTTAGCACTGAGATAATAATCCCAAGTGCTTTGTATTGGAAAAAAGCATGCAGCATTTTGTCAATCCTGACACTCTTATTTTGCCATTTTTTTAAAAAGGAACGTTCTTTTCCAAATTCAGAGCTATCCATGGGCTGTTAAAACTCCAACCTGAAGCCATAGGGAGAACATGTCTTTATTGCTAACACTACTTGCAAAACAGATACTTGTTTGGAGATTATCCTCATAATGCAGACACAAAGTGCTGATAAGAGTGTTTATGAAAGAGTGAACCTAAATAGAGAAAGGACAGTGTGATAGTTGTTCCTGTCAGTTTTTAAAAATGCTTAGATTAAACATCAAATAATGTTTCTGAATTAGGGATTTTCCATGGACTTGGTAGATGCTGCAATCTTCCTAGATAGTTTGGCCCATATGTAATTGGAATGGCATTAATGGGGAATGTAGTATCAACAGCATATTAAGTCTCCCTAAAAAAGTAGTTCCTCCTTGGGGAAATAGGCAGAGAATGCACAAAAACCAATTTTGTTCAGAACACACAAAACTCGGTTCAATTCTGATATAAAGCTTGAGGAATCTTATTTTAGCAGGAGATGCCAGTTCAAGTGAACAGGTCTGAATTATTTCATATTTCAATCTGACAATATCTCACAGTGTTATGGATTGCAAGAGGGAACCTAATGCATGCTGAAGCATCATATGATTTATTTCTTATATACTTACACTCATGGCAAATGCAATTTTTTTTATCAGACTATGCCATGTTTATTTTCCATAGGTTGCTGCAATTGAGTAAAATCAGTGTGGCCTATATAAGATTATTAAATTGCATTATACATAGAGCACTTTGGTTACTATTCCTCCTGGGATATAATCCACAACATAGCTGAAGTACATGCTGCAGTACAACAAGCCCTATCATTAATCTATAGAAATTATAATAAATAATAAAATAATTTATGATTCATGTAGTCCAGCTACAGAATTTTAAAGTATGGAATAATTTAACTCATACAATACTGTTCTTTAATATTAGTAAAGAATTTTCCTACATTTTGTCACTAGGCTATTAATGTTTTTTAAAAAATCATATCAAATCAAATGTAAACAAACAGCAGCACAATATCAACCCATGCTTGCCTTTCATTCTGCAGATGAAGTGAATGGTGTAATTGATACTCACTTAAATCCTGCTACTCACGCCAAAGGCCTTTCTTTCTTAATGTCATTCTTTAGCCAACATGATGGAAGGAAGCATTGAAACTTAATGATTAACACTTTGATTCGAAAACCGGACTTTAGTGTTACGAATTTTGCTCTTCTTGAACATTTTAATTATAGGAAATAGAATGAATGGTAAACCATATTTGTAAAAAAGAAAGAAGGATATCAGTCCAGAATCCACAATATAAATATGACTTAATATTCCTTCAAGCCCAACACAAAGAACATTTTCACGAATTGTCATTTTTTAAAAAAAGTTATGTAACTTTCCATCAAGCTTAATAAGTGACCAGTTCTCTCCTATTAAAACCGTATCACTGAAACAGTAGGAAGACAAATTGTGTGGCCTAGCTGGACTATCCCCCAGCTGTAGAGGGAACAGTTCTAATTTTTTCCTTCAGGATATATAAAATATATCTTCCATGGCTTGTAAGTTCTTCAGCATTAATTTGATACATGTATTTTTAATTGAAGGAACCAAATAAAAGGCAACATATAAAGAGAACAAGCTAACAGAACAAAACAGTATGTGCATCTATCCATCAATCTTTCAATCTGTCCTCACAGTAGTATGATAATATAAATGCTGGAGAGAAGCTGTAAATGTAGTTGTAAGATTTTGCAGTGAACTAATAAAATAAATTTTAAAATGAAAACAATTAGTTTCCATTTTCTTATGCTGAGGAACAGCATCTCAGATACTTTTTCCTTGGAATGTGAATACTTTATGTTGAAAAAGTTACACTGGTTGTACAAATGACTTTTTGCTCATAGATTATCTCATGCACTGTTTTAGTGAAATCAATGAAATTGCTGTGTTTTTAAACCGTCAGCCCTTCAGAGCCACATGGCCAAGTAATAACAAATTCTATTCTGTCTACATATGCTCCCTTAAAATTCAAAATGATTCTTTTTCAGATTTCTTTCTATTTTTGTAATGAATTATTTTCCCTATGGACAGTGATCATCTTATTCAGTAAAAAGTGTT